ATAGCCTCAGGCAGGTGTCAGAATGGGGACCTGAAGCCAGTCTGTGTACTGCCCAGAACACTGTGACATCTGTGACCAGAGATGAAAACAGCACATTGGATTTCACCAATGTGGCATTGATGGCGAGATGAGGACAGTGTTGCAGTGGGCAGCAGGGAAGGGAGGGCAGAAGCTTTAGGGACAGCGGCTTCCTTCTACCTAGTTCCCCAGTGCTTCCTGGGCCCAGTAATGTGGAAGTCAGCCTTGTGCGGTTAGGAGGTGCCAGAGCAGAGATGGGAGGATCTACCAGAGCCTGCAGTCACCACCGGATGAACTGTGAAGGCAGCCAACCAGGAAGTGGGTGTGTGAATAGTTTAGTGTCATATCAAACGAAATCTGGAGCAAAGTTCACCCGGGCATGTTCAATGGCTGGCTTCCTCACCCTGTCTCTCCCAGCTAGGCTTGGATGGATGCCTTTTGCCAGCATGGCTGGAACTAAAACCACCCCACGGCCAAACTAAACACTCTGGCAGGAGAAATGAGGCAAGGTACTCTTTCTGGCCTACTGTGGGGTCAGAGCACTGACTGAGCTGGTCATCCCGCTGGGGAGCCTCATGGCGGCCCTGTGAGTTCCATTCCCCCTGCTCTGGGTCCATGCAGTCTCCCAACCTCTCTTCCCCAGAGGGGAAGAGCACATCCACACACAGTGCCTTCACACAGTAGGTCAGCTCCTCACAGGCTGGCTCCTGCCACTCTTGATGGTTGCAGGGCTGGCTAGGGACGGCAGCATTAACTAGGGAGGATGAAACGGTGGGGAAATAGAGAGGAAGGATACATGGAAAGGAACCGTGCAAAGATAAATTGGCAATGGGCACAGAGAAGAGGACATTAAAGGAGGCAGGCAGGCTGGGAGCCAAGGGCTGTCATCTCGGGACTAACGCCAGGATCAGCAAACAGAAAGCAGGGGCTGACTTTGAGGTACTTTATGATGTGCAGCCTCTGACACTATGTTAGACCAGATCAGAGACTGCGACTGCCACCCATGAGCTGCCCAGTGCTGCAGAGTGAACGAGGGTGCGTTAGGCTGGCACTCCACCCCAGCCCTCACTACCTCTCCAAACTCGATTATGTAGACACGCAGGGTCTTTTACAGTCTTCCTCTCCCACAGCTGCTTCTCTTCTAGGCTCCCTCTTTTTTCTTCTCCTCTGAATCTGCACACTGCCACGTCTCCACCTCACCAACGTAAACAAAAACCCTGGCCATTTCTCTGCTTCCCACCCTATCTATCCTATATGCAAAAGAATGGTACTAGTTTAGTCACTATGGGGACAAAGGGAGGAGGGAGAATCCCCAGCTGGCACACTGTCAGTGGCAGGCAATTCCACGGTTTACCTCCCACAAGTGAACAATGTCCTTGAACCTCTACACTGGCAGCCATAATCTTGGTGGTCGGCCTGAGGCACAGGCAAACACTGCTTCTCTACATAGCTCATCCCCAACATGCTTGCCCTTCTAACACCCAGGGCAGAGACCAAATGCATTTGAGTGGCTATGGCCATGGGTACCACCGAGCTGTGCCCAGATGTTCTGCTGGGCCTCAGCCTTGGCTACTCTCGTAGTCCCACCAGACCAAACTGTAACCAGTAACTGCCACTTAAAAGATGGTAATACAAAAGGACATAATAATGCATTCAGGCATTGCCACTACACACAGTAAGCTGTGTCCATCTCCACTAGGGACATGGCATCCCTACAAAGAGCTAGAACTATTTGTAATAGTGACACTGGGCACTTCCTATTCACCTATCTCTTTCACAACCTGAGAGGAGCTGAACGAACCCCACCTGTCTCCCTGGAGACCTGGAGCCGCTGGCCATTGCAGAAGGCACCCTGGCCCCTCCTGCCGGTGTACAGCCGCTCCTCAGTGCAGTGGTGGATCACTCCGAATTCCAGCTATAAGGGGCAGGAAGAAATCGGATGCATGTCACTCCTTGACACAGCATGTCACTCCTTGACACAGAAGTAACAGCGGTCTAAAAATGAAGGCTCCTCTTACAGCTGGAACCAGCAGCATGACAACGGGACAGAAACTGCCTTCCAAAAAGGAATGGAGAAAAGCCAACTTCAAAGTACACCTGGACATTAAAGCAAGCCGTTTCTTAGATGAACATATTAAAACTGTATTAATATTAATGGAACTATATTAAAGTTATCATAATAAGGTATTGAAAGTTTCAGTCTTTAAATCTTTAGAATGACCTCCCTCTCTTCCCCTCTGGCAAAAAGGCTGTGACAAATAAAACAAAACAAAACCACCTTAAGTTTTCTCCAGGTTGCTGGTGTGTGAAGAGCTAGGCACACATCCACAGGGCCAACAGAACCGGGAACCCATGGACATCCCCAGGGAGTATGGCTACTGCCCAGAGAGGGTCCCTATGCAGGCAGAATCAACAGTGACAATATTAACAAAGCTTCCCAACAAGTAGATGCCAACGTGGAAGTGACAAGCCTCCCACCCAAGCACTGCTATCTCTTTTCTGCCTGATTTTCACCACCTGTGTGTGGTGTCAGGAGTCCCATATTTCCATCTTTAGGGAAGTCAGGATGGCTTAGCAGTCTTGGGTAGCCCTGAGGTAAGCTCAGCAGAAATGGGTATCCAGCTTAAAGAACAGGTTTATTTCCAGACAGGGACTTCCCAACAGTGTGTGGCTCTCTAGCAATACTTACTTATCACCTCCACCCCCCACGACTCTGGCTACAGCATGATAACCAAATCTAGGCATCAGAATTGTGTGGGTCTTGGTCAGCTGTGATAAGGTCCCAAGATCAAGGGAAATGCCTATGGGCAAGAGGAAAAGGAGAGTTGCTTCCTAGGTTGGCCCATGACTGTGCTCTGTAACTAGAAACACACATGGACATAAGAGTAGGGCTCAGCCATGCCGAGCACCTGTCTGACCTTTGTGGCCCCAGTCTACTTTCCCTGACTCCTGTTACAATAACCTGGCAGCTAAAAGAAAATTCATGCTCTCTGGTCTCCGTGACAACACCGAACAGAGAAACTAATGGCTTGTCAATTTCTTACTCAACCTGGCAATATTAAAATTTTTATTGATCTACACCAAAAGTGTTTTGAGGTAGGTGTAAACTTTTGTTCCCATGAGGGGACTGCATGCTGCTATTGAAGATGGCAATGCTATGCTATTCTCAAGGGGGGCAGTTGAGGAAGACATGGAGCCCCAACTCTGCCTCATGCTCCTACATAAGCCGCCACCCCTGCCTTTCCTTAAGGTCTCATGCTATGGCTTAGTTCATAAAGTCTCTGGGAATCCTGATAGGGCCACGTTCTCATACTAATAGCCAGGAGGGAAAGAAGAATAGAATATTGAGATTAAAAATGTCATCCAAAAATAGGAGCTCCCTTGTTTGTGACTAGATCACACGCTCTAGGGGTCAGATGGAGACACATGCTGACCATCTGCTCAGAACATCGCTTTCCATAGCAGCTATGACTAGACCACAGCAAAAAGGAGCCAGCCCAGACTGGGAGATAAGCCCCAGCCAACACCCCTACAAAAATCCTTCTGTGTTTTACTTTCTTGGATTGGAAAAATACATACTTGGATGTACTAGTCACGGCGAAGGCACAAGTCAAAGAGCAAAGCAGAAGTTGAAACCAAACAAGGAGGGTTACATTACCTCCTGGTGAACTGCAAATCCGATGCTAACTGCCACAGTAGGGAATCTGCAAGGGAAGAGGGAATGGGTCATAGATAAAGTAGGTACAGAGGGACACTTGTTCTCAGAAGCTGTGTATGGTTGTATGAAGGCTCCCTTCCATTACACAAGGACCTTTCTGCGCTCTGGTTGGGTTTGACTTTCAAAATGACTTTCCAGTTTCACTCACGGCTTTTGATATAAACAGACTTAGCTAGTCATGCCGTAAGATAGCTAACTTAAAGAAAGAGCAGTGCTCTGGAAGCTGTGTCAAGACTGATAACAATTTAACAATGACCACATAATACTAATTAGGGATGATTTTAATAACCACACTTCTGGCTCTCAGCAACCTAAGCCAGTAGAGAGACTTTGAAAAAGGCCAACCCCTATTTGAGAATGTATGTGGAGGACCCAGTAGATGATGTCACAGACCCTGGACCACAGCCACCACACAGGCACAATCTTTCATCAGTAGTGCTAACATCCCCATCCTGTCTTCTGCTCTCCCAGCAGGCAACAGCAGTGTGAGCCAGTGGTAGAGAGACTGGTTTCAGGACTGTGGCTTTAGTTTTCTCAGTGTGTTGCTGGGTCTCAAAATAATCTCTCCTTTGTGCGAAGACCTTAGGAGCTTAAAAAACAGGAACGGGGCAAGGAAAGACCAAGTGCTGTTAACTCACAGGGAGAAATACCAACCAAGACCACGAGCAGAACCTGTGCAGAAACCCTGAAGCCTCTCTGTTTCCTAGGCAGGCTCCTCACAGCATTCCCTCAGCCATGTTGGCTATGGGCCCAGCATTGCAGCTTTCTAATGGCTCAGATCACAGGCTGCAGCTGTGGCCTTCACATCCTGGGACTGCCAGGTCAATACTAGAGCCTATTTCTCAGAGGACACTCTTTCCAGCCTGATTCCCCTGAGGGCTGCACACCAGGAAGCACTAGAGATCCCAAGGTCAATGCGGCCTTTAGCTGGAATGTGGTCTGGACATCGAATCCATGTTATGATGTACCTTGGATGACAAACCAGAAGACAGAGGTAGGTACCCCACTCACTAGGGAAAAAATCCTGAGAGTAGGGGTTATGCTTTAGTGAAGTGGCAGCCTGGTGGG